GGGGGGCGACGCTGATGATGATGATTGATGATGCTCGGTTGTGGTTTGTGGCAGGGACCGATTTTTGGCCCCAAAATGAAACAGACAGAAGTTTTCTCGGAAACAAAGACAAAAAGAACACACAAACAAGTGTGTTAATTACCATACCAAACCAATGATTAATTACAATTCAAAATAAACTTATGAAAGAATACTATTAACATTTTAAACATTAATTCTGAAAACCAAATTGCATTCAACTACTATCATAATCCCCTATTTTTCCACAAGTATTAATGCTCTTAAGATCATTCTAACTTTGTATATCAACCAAAATGTAGGGAAAAAAAAATTGTCTAGAGCCCTTGGAGATAATAAAATAAATTAATGCCTCTTTATAATCTAATCAAAGTTCTGTGATCCTATGACTACATGTCAGTAAAACATTATCGTGTGGGTGTAAATGTAATTTTCTACAAAAAATTCTTTCTTCACGAGGAAGAGAGAGAGAGACTGAGGGAGAGAGAGAGAGGACAGAACGAGGGAGGGGAGGGGCCTCCCGAACAATAGGAAGCATGGTGTCAAAATACTTTCCTCGTTTTTCTCTTGACAAGGTTCTAAATCAGTGTGTAAAAAGTTTTTCTCACGTCAAACGACACTTTACATTATATCTTAAATACGGTCAGTAATGAAAACATTCCTATTTGCTTACATAGTATTAGTCCAGAGAATCTCTTTTTTTTTTTGATGGCGTCTGTGTGTGACTATTAAACATTACATCAGAATAAGGAGAAAAACTTCCCATAACTGATCATTTCTTCACATGAAACTCGTATACTACAGCCAGAGGCTCTCTTTTTCTCAATAATCAGAATCATTATTATCAGATTCCACATTTTTAAATACTACTGGCTTTTCTTTCTGTTTAAATTAATTGTGCACCTTTTCCCCGCCCCCGGGGGATATAGAAGGTTTTATTATCTATCACTTCTGACCCTAAACTACCTATCTATACTAATCCTATTTATCTAAACGTTGTGCCTTCTTTTTTGCACTTAAACCCCTGTGGCTTTCTTTTCATCATTCTGTTCTGTTTTTTTAAGGAGGGACCATTGTTCCCCCAAGGTTTAAACGTCCTAAAACCTGACTATTGTTCTATCGGTCGGATTAGAAAGCCCCGTACGGCGGTAGCCTGGCCACCGCTGCCGTCAGTCGAGACGAATTCTCTCTCTCCTTCCATTTAAAACAATGTGCATGATTTTCAAAAGTAACGATCCGCTACCTCTTTCGAAGAGAAGAGAGAAGAGAAGAGAGAATTCTCCCGGCCCACGGACCCAGTCTATTATTTGAGCTCTTCTCTGTCTTTCCATGCACCCATCACGTCGGGGTCACAAATGAAGTCAATAATTCCCTTGAATGACTCTTCGTGTATGATGATGCAGAGGCATGACCAACAGATCTTCCAAGTTTTAACCTCTGTATTAATTATCTTTACAATCAGATACAGAAATTCCAAACAAAGTGGGATCCTAAAACTATGCATGGTCCCTGGTCGGGGCCCTCGGTCATTCTCTGTGTCCTCTCAAGCAGAGCATTATCGTCCATGTTCAGAAGCAGGGGGCGTGTCGTATCAGGACAGGACTTGGGTTCCGGAATCTTCCATCATGTCCCCTCTGTCTGCCGGTTACATAAACAGAATCATTCACACACACTACACTCCCCAAATTTATTACTTCTTTGAGGATAAGAGCCAGAAGGCTCTCTGGGTCCCCCTCTCTTCAGGATTGCAGAATCCCCCCCCAGTTACCTATCATTAAAACTCACCCATGCACTTTGGACTAACAAAGGACATGGGGAAACCAGGTCTTTTTTGATTTAGGCAAAAGACCGTTAAAATCAGGGTCAGCCAATATTCACATCTGCATAGTTAAAAATATACAAACAGTCTTACAGCCTCAGTTCCTGGGTCTACAAGCCTCAGTCCTGGGTATCATTGTCTACTGTCAGTCTGGGTCTACAAGCCTCAGGCCGGGGTGTCCTGGGTTCTACAAAGCCTCGTCTGGGTAGTCTGGATCTACAGCTTAGTCCTGGGTTCTACAGCCCTGTGTGTTCTCTGTTTGACTCTCTGATCTGCTGTGGTGGAAATCAACAGCTTTGAGACGACAGATGTTGTGGTGTGTGGGCAGTACACACTTGGACCCAATTGGATTGTGTTGTTTGTGAGTCCTGCTCCACACGACCTGTTCACCAGCTACCCTCCTTAACTTTGTGAGAGTTTCATACGTCTGTGTGAGGACCGCAGCAGAGAAATCACTGATATTCAGTGGGATTTTCTCAAAAAGTCCTTCATAACATCGTAGAAACATAAACTGCAGCAGTTAATGAGCCTGAATTCTCAGGGTAAAGTCCATCTATGTATCCATTGGTATGTTGTGTGTGTAAGTGTATGTTGTGTGTCTGCGTCATGTGTTTTATGTTTGTGGTGTGTATTCCGTATATGGTGTTGTGTGTTCCTATTGATATTTGTGTGTGTTGTGTGTGTGTTAGTGTATGATGTGTGTGATGTTTACTGTGTTGTGCAGTGTGAGTGTATATATGTGTGTGTTTCTTTGTGTGCATGTTTACTGTGCTTGCATGTGTGTGTATTACATGTGTTGTATGTATGTTATGTGTGGTGTGTGCATTGTTTAATGTGTGCTGCATGTGTGTTGTATATATGTGTGTTGTTGTGCAAGTTACTGTGTGAGCATGTGTGTGTATATATGTGTTGTGTGGTGCATGTTAACTCTGTGTGGCATGTGTGTAAATATATTGTGTTTGTGTTCGTGTATATGTGTATGTGTCTGGATCTGAATGATGTGCTTCTTCGTCATGTGGTTTTTCTGTACTTGGTGGGGACTCTGGGGCCTTCTACGTCACTCTGGTTTTTCTCACTTTGGGGACAGAAGAACGACTACAACGACTTCGACTGGTGAGTGCAGCCCTCCATACACTGCGGAGGAAACATCTTCTGGAAAACAGTTATTCCTGAACATGTGAAAATATCCTTTTTAATCGTGCTACAATCGAGGGAATTTTACCTTCATCTTTTTTAATTTATTTATGATGTTAAAACCTTGTGTTTTGGTCAGCACCTGTGTACGAACAGTGCTATACAAATAAAAACTTGCCTTGGTGCATCTGCCAAACGCCCCTTCCTCCAGAGGACAGGGTTTAACTGAGTCCCACTGGGGCCTCTGCCAGGAGCCAGAAAGGGAGGGGCCTGTGCTGGGAAGCCATGAGGGAGGGGCTTCTGCATGTTTTTTTCTCCCTGTGGATGTTTGAGCTGAAGCACTGCAGGACACTAAACAAAGCTGCAACGATTGTTTTTACTGTCGTCAAATATGAGTTTAAACAACTGTGTGTGTCTGTGTGTGTCTGTATGTCTGTGTGTGTGTCTGTGTGTGTGTGTGAGGTTCACTTTGAGTCCCTGGGTTTCTGGTTCCCTGGTCTGTGCTGCTGCTGGTCGTCATCGCGGTCCTCTTCAGTTACAGCGCTGCTCTCATGGTCAGACACACACACGGACACACAGACACCACAGACACACAGACACACAGACACACAGATCACAACACACACAGACACACATACTTGTCTTTATCATCTCGGTGGGACCACCAGACCAGGACATGCATTGTGGGACCCAGCCTTTCTGTAGGGTTTACAGCAGCAAAAAAAAAATCAGGCATGGCCCCCTGGAGGTCCTGAACAGTAATATCACGTCAAAATCCAAGATTTCACAAACAATGTCCCACACCAGATTTGTACTATACTTCTGGGAACTTAACAGGTATTGCTATACTTGTGATGCCGAAACTTACACACTGTCAGGTTTTTAGCTACTTTTGTGTCCAACACACATACACACTGTCAGGTTTTTAGCTACTTTTGGTCCCACACATACACCACTGTCAGGTTTTTAGCTACTTTTAAGTCCCACACATACACACTGTCAGGTTTTTAGCTACTTTTAGTCCCACACATACACACTGTCAGGTTTTAAGCTACTTTTAGTCCCACGCATAAACACAATGTCAGGTTTTTAGCTACTTTTACGTCCCACACTTACACACTATCAGGTTTTTAGCTACTTTCAGTCCCACACATACACAATGTAAGGTTTTTAGCCTACTTTTAGTCCCACACTTACACACTATCAGGTTTTTAGCTACTTTCAGTCCCACACATACACACAGTCAGGTTTTTAGCTACTTTTAGTCCCACACATTCACACACTGTCAGGTCAGGTAAGACTATTTAATATTTTTCACTTTAACTTAAACACTTTTTAGCATTTTTGGTTCTCACAACAACCCAATTGAGCACATGGGGTTCTACTCTAGCTCTAAAATGCGTTCTCTTAATCCGAGTGTGCTTGCTCAGTCCTGAACTTTGCCATTGATTGTAAATATTAGGATAATTGCCCAAGATAGTAGCCTAGAATGCACACAGATTGAACGTCTTATCAACGTCCATGGGAGGTCATTGTTTTACGTCCAGATGCGCACCCTACACAGACGTTTAGACGTGAAAAAAGGGTCCTCGACCGACCGACCCAATATGCACGTGAACCGGCAGTCGAGTGGATGTTTAGTGGATTAGCTTTCCTGAGCTGCTGCAGGAAATAAATCTTCTACTGGTCCATCTTGATGAGGGAGCTGATGGTCGCCTGTCAGAGATGAGTAGAGTTGTCCTGTATGTGCACTGCAACATCATCATTTCCCCAGTGTGCTAGGAATAAAGGTTATCTTATCTTATACGTTAACGCGGTGTTAAGACGAGGAAAACTGTGGGGTACATTATTCCAATATTTTTAGAATCTTTTCTCATGTACAAGTCTCAGGGGAACCACAAACATGATTATATTCTTGTTTTTACTTATTATAATGCCACAACCTTTTAACAGCCAGGATTAATGTCAGAAATGTATGAGTTTGTATGAATGCTGGGTTTTGTGTTGTCTGCTGTAGTGTCGCCAGCCCATGTCCCTCAGTGAGTTGAAAGCAGAGGTGTCTCCCCGGATCTCTGCAGATGACCTGATAGAACTGTGTGAACTGTCCCCCGCTGCACCCTCCAAGAGAGTCAAGTCCAGCAAACCCAAGATTATCTCTGTCGACATCCGCAGCGTGGACGAGTATCCACTACATTTCATTCATTGTTGTTTATATTTCACAATACTGTTTGTATGAGCGTTGTATCTGTTATCACCAAAGGAAGTAATGATTAAGTAAGCAATAATCTTAATTTATATAGCACCTCTTTTGCGTGCCTAACCTGAAGATTAAAGGAGAATAGTTGAGTGCAGCCTGACAACAACAAAAAAACAAAATGAGAAATTATTTGTAGTAATTACTTACTGATAATCTTTCACCTTTCACAGATCTTTACAATTGGTGTGGCCATTTTTCCACTCACTCTACACAGTGATGGAAGTGGACTTGACATGCAGACCTATTGTAAATTCTATTGTAAAGTAGTAGATCCGGAGGCCAACAAAAATACATGAACTTTATTTAAATGAAAAAAGAGCATTTATCTGCCTCTATGCTGAGATACTAAAACCATAAACAATGAGTTCCACAAGTACTAATACAACATGCAATTCTTCACATTTTGTCATGTTTACCTTAGAATACAATGTTTAAGACCACAACAAAGTCCCCTTTAATTAAAGTAAACCTCGGCCATTTTTCAAACTGTGAAAAGTGAGTGAAACTTTTTAAAGATGACCATTGGTTAGACCCGCATAATCAGCAGCTTCCTTATATGTCAATCCTTATGGCATATTTGTATTGGCCAAGACAATATCACCAGGATAACAGAGGGTGCTAATCCAAAGATAGTGGTTTTGCGAGACACAAACGGTTACTGAGATAGAGAAGTCAATAGTAGCCAGAGCGAAACGTTGTTTATGAGCACTTCCCTTTTGGACTTGCTCATAAACAGCGTTTCGCTCTGGCTCCTATTGACTACTTTTGGACTTCATTGAGCTAGCAGGTTCATTTATGTATATTCTACGGTTTAAGTCGTTTTTCTTCCAGCAAATCTTACTGTCAAGTGGAGGAACTTTTTTCACTATATTATTGTTAGAAAATACATATTGTACTGCTGTGTCCCATGGTCAGACATGTATATTGTTTTAAATATGAAATGTAATTGAAGTTGATGACATCCCCTTAACTCCAGCGTGTGCAGCTACAGCAGAGGGCACATCTCGGGCAGTCTCAGCGTCCCATTCAGCTCCGTGTTCGGTCCGGAAGGGGAGCTGCTCCAGTGTCCCACAACAGGGGCGCTGCAGAGCTACAGAGGCCGGGTGATTGTTGTCATCAGCCACAGCATGAAGAGTGCCTCCATGGTGAGCACAGTGGGGAATCAAGAACTGCTTCTGTTTGCGGAAGGATAAGATGAGATGAGATAAACTAGGTCATCCTTAGGTTTAGAACTTTATGGCCCTGTTTAGACGGAGACGCTGCGACAGCAAAACCTTAGAATTTGATATTGGTTTGGCCTCTTGTTTACATAGACATACATGGAGGGCGAAAGCGTTGAGAAACGGCTACAGCTACATTGTTTTGCGACGTGGTCTAGACACTGTGCACTTGAATAAGGAGCCTCGTCGTTTGTGCCAATTGCTTTGCAGAGTCTCCACAGCGTCTTCGTATAAACTGGGCCTATAAGAGGCTTAGAAATACTAGACTCCCTGTAAATGTACAAAATGGGCCAGTACATATATATTGGAAGTATTTATTTCTATTTTGACTGTTTCATCTGCTAATGGAAAAGGTAAATTCAAACGTGTGCATGTTTAGATGCCAATTATGGACTTTTCAATTACATACAGTGTTACCTAAGACTGTTTTCATTTGTTTCCTGGCAGTTTGCAACCCACCTGGTCAAAGTGAATTTCCCCCGTGTTTGCGTCCTGGATGGAGGCATCAACAAGCTGAAACCCACAGGACTGCTCACAGTGCCCTCACCTCAGATTTAATCAATCAAGAAGTATCTCATGCTAGATGTGTGCTCATTTTACAACAATAAACACATTATATGGTTACTGTTTGTAAGGATAAAAAATTAGAGATTGTTGTTTGATTTGAATGTCCTTTTTTACAACTTAAATGGAACTAATGGTGAGGTTTAACGTTTATGGTTGTGTTAATAAATAGATCTGTGGACAGAAAGGCTTTGTTCACTGCCTGCTTATCCTTCGAGCAACATCAGTCATTTGTTAATAAGATAAGATAAACTTTATTGATCTCACAATGGAGAAATGTACATGTCACATTTGGCATTGATAGAACCACTCAGATTGTGCAAAAGACATGAAGTCTGCAAACATGTTAAGTTTAGAAATATAGCATGCAGTCCCTGTCCCTGTTTATCTGACGTGAAAGCCCTTTTCTTGTCTATTAGCCCGTCCGTCCGTGTAGGAGCGGATCCCTTTCTCAATTGTGGGTCTCCCCGAGGTTCCTTACTTTTTCCCACTGGGTTTTTGTGAGTTTTTCCTTGCCGATGCAGGAGGGTCTGTTGGACAGTTAGTGTCCAACTAGAAGGACTGTGGTGATGATCCAGGACACTTTAACATTCTACACCATGTATGAACATTTATAAGATAAGATAAGACTTCATTAATCTCACACAGGAGAAATTTACATGTCACATTTGCAAGGATAGGAACACTCAAGTATTGTGCAAAAGTAAGAAATGTGCAGCATGTTAATGCAGGATATATTATGTACAAAAAAGTGGCGATTAGAAAGAAGTGTCAATAGTAGTGCAGGTTTCTTTTCAGTCATAGTGCAGTGACTTAAAGTGACTTGTTGTACAATCTTGACAGCGGTGGGGATGAAGGCCCTACGGTAGCGCTCCTTCTTGCACTGAGGGTGTCTCAGTCTTCCACTGAAGGAGCTCCTCAGCTCCTCTACAGTCCTGTGCAGTGGGTGGGAGGTATTGTTCATGATGGAGGTGGCTTTGGCTAGCACCCTCCTGTCCCTCACCTCCTCCACAGAGTCCAGGGAGCAGCCCAGAGTGGAGCTGGCCCTCCTGACCAGCTTGTTCAGTCTGTTTCTGTCCCGCTCTGTGCTGCCCGGGGCCCAGCACACGGCAGCGTAGTATATGGCAGAGGCTACCACAGAGTCATAAAAAGTGTTGAGCAGAGGCCTGCTCACTCCGAAGGACCTCAACCTCCTCAGAAGGAAGAGGCGACTTTGGACCTTCTTGTGCAGGGCGTTTGTATTATGGGACCAGTCCAGTTTATTGTTAATGTGAACACCCAGGTACTTGAAGCTGTCCACGAGCTCAATATCCTCCCCCTGGATTTTCAACAGCGTGTGGGAAAGTGGTTTTCTCCTGAAGTCGATGATCATCTCCTTGGTCTTACTGGTGTTCAAGCACAAGTGGTTGCGCTCACACCAGTCGACAAAGTCCTTGATAACCAACCAATATTCCAGATCGTTCCCCTCAGACACACAGCCCACGATGGCGGAGTCGTCAGAGAACTTCTGCAGGTGACAGCTGTGTGTGTCGTATGTGAAGTCCGAAGTGTAGATGGTGAAGAGAAACGGTGAGAGGACAGTGCCTTCCCACTAAACATCCGACGTCCACTCAACCTCCAGATCACGTCAATATTGCGTCGGTCGGTCGTGACCTTTTATTTACGTCCAAACGACGTCTGTGCAAGGTGCGCATCTGGACGTAAAACAATGACCTCCCATATACGTGGATATGACGTTCAATCCCAACCTCCCCTAGACGTCGAAAACAGGTCATCGGCGACCGACGCAGTACGTCTTGATCTAGCAATACAATATATAGGCTGTGAAGCAATATAAGTGAACCTGACGGTAGTGTAGTGGTTAAGCAAACGTGTGCAGTCTTGGTTACGTGGTGTGTGTATTATTATCTTTATATATTTGTTTTGATTTTTAACGAACAATTTTTTCCTGTTTGGTTAAAGACTAATAAACACTCAACATAGGATTACGTAGTGGCTAATAATAAAACTTGTGAATGTATGCATTTGTTGTGCTAACAATCTCAAGTTTGCAAATAAGGGGTGAGCACTTGAGATTTTATGCAAATGCATGGGTTCACAAGTTTTATTATTAGCCACTACATAATCTTATGTTGAGTGTTTATTCGTTTTTAACCAAACAGAAAAATTGTTCGCTAAAAAGTGAAAAGTCAAAAGTTTTCCGACGGGGATTTGAACCCGCGTCTTTGCGACTGAAGTCTCATTACGCAACCGCTACACCACGGCCAGGCATTTTTCTGACTACTGTGAAAAAATAATAGATAACACCCTAAGCAACCGACGCACACTTATGCGCCGCGCGAGTATAACTTATAACTTTACAGCCTGACACGTGAGTCGCTCGGTCGAGGACCTGTTTTCCACGTCTAAACGACGTAAGGTGTGCATCTGGACGTAAAGCAATGCCTTCCCAGACGTTGATATGACGTTGAATCTGTACCTCTGTCGCTGCCCTGCTTTATTTACTTGGAATCATCCTCTCTAGTAAGTACAGTCTGCACAGTTTTTAGATATAGATGTATCATTTCCACATTGAAAAGAGTTGGAGACAGAAAGTAAGTTGTTTTCTCACGTATACGTGGATTTTGTTAAGTATATTTTGTATATTATCTGTATTTTGAATTGCCAGTGCATGAATCTATAATAATAACGGCTGGCACTGCTCAGCTGAAAGGGAGACACCTTTTTTTAGTTTTTAAGTTAAAGTTTAAAATATGATATTGTTTTTCATATTTCAAACTATTTTTAACACATTAGAATTCTTAGGTTAGACTGTCCAACAAAGTATGTGTTAAAAAAGGTTAAGATTCTTGAGTTTTAAAATAATAATTCAATTCTAAAATGTAAAGTTACTGTATATTTCACAATGGTTTATAAACTGCAAAAAGACAACAGTACTTAGTAAACTAAGTTTAAAAACAGGGAGATCAGCTTAAATATTTGGGACACTCCCATCATTTAGACACCTGTGATGTCATCAGTTGGAGTTGAGTTCAGGTGTGGGACCATGTGGGACCATGTGGGACCATAGGAGCACACAGATGTTACCTGCTGCAGAAAGAGAGTTTAATGTTCATGTATTGCTTTGTTTAATAAATTGATTTAATGTCTTCCCAGGTCTTCAATGTCAGAGACTTTCACTTCTTCTCACTGTGGCTGTTTAAATGAGCCACTACAGTTGTTATTTTTGTTATTGTTAGCTGCAAATATTAAATATCCATTCATCTGCTGGTAGCAAGCTAACTAGCGCTTGCAACTCTATTCAATTTCTTACTTTTTCTTATAAACTTTAAAACCAGCCATATGTCAATTAAAATACATTTACCTTTGCTAATGCAGTCAATTATTGTGAAATCCATAGAGTATAATTTCATGATTGTTGCAATAACTAATGTTCTGTGTGTATTCCTAATGTGTCATGTGTGTTTGAGTCTTACAGGTGTCAGACTGTGTTAAAGGTGTTCAAAGGTAAGAATCACACTCTCACACATTGTTCTTCTGTATTATTATGTTGTTTTTAGAATAAACCATTATTTGGTGTATTCTCTTTGAAAACATCTATCTTTTTCTCAGATTGTTCAGCAACTCACTCAAGATGAGGGAAAAGAGCAACAAAGGGAAAATGCCCCCTCGGAAATGCAACATGTGTAGAGTAATACAGGGTAAGTAGCTTTCAGGGCTCATTTGTGTCCATGTGCAAAACAAATGCACATTTGCAATTGTTTTTTACATGGAATTACTCCAATGACCAAAGCCTTATCCCAAGTTTCTCAGACGGAGTGTCTTCCAGTGTCTCGAGCTAGTGCAGTGCCAAGGTTTGTATCACATGGTGATGGATCGAGTGGTTTGAGGCATTAATAGAAAGTTATGTGTTGTTATATCACTTTGCCACATTATGTTGAAACTAAACATGTTCCACATTTTCAGGTGCTGTGCTTGGACCTTATAATGAGACTGAAGACCAAGAGAGGACACATGTTGGAACCTCAACATTCAATAAATGCATTCTTCTGCCTTTCAGATTGTGTTTTTACATCTGGGGAACCTAGAGTGTAGCTTGTGCCTGTTTTTATACTGATCCAAACATAGGCGCTACAATCATGTTTTTTTACTTTGGCATGAACTGTTCAGTACAGTAGTGTTCATAACACTGTGCCCTGTGTGCTTTAACTTGTACTTTGATGTAGAGAAACATGATTTTTAATGCAGCTCCATTTGCAATAATGACTGATATCCTTCTACTACAGTTGTTCTAATGATTTTTGAATGCTGTGTTTATCGTTTATTGCCCAGAGTCAGAACTAAACATGATAAAGCTGCATTTCAGATTCACAAGGCTAAAATCTGGAACGGTCTTCCTGGAAATGTGAGACAGGCTTCTTCTTTGACAATGTTAAAATCCAGGTTTAAAACACTTCTGTTTCTGCTTCAACTGAGAGATTTTATGAGAGATTTTATTTGTTTCTTTTTAATTTACAGTCAATATTTATAATTGTAATGCCTTGTTTGATTGTTTCTATCTTTTGTTCAGTGCTTTGAGTTTCCTTTTGTTTTGACTGTGCTATACAAATAAACTTGCCTTGCCTATTGCAAAAAGTATGTCTCGACCAGTGAGTGATTCTGCAGAGGTTAAGTATGTCAATAGGACTGTAAATGGACGTCATATAAACGTCAATATTTTGGTCATATAAGACGTCGAGAGGACGTCGGACCCGACCGGTTCTGTACCACATTGCAACCTTGAATGAAGTGGCCGCGACGTCATTTGAACGTCCAGATAACGTCCAGATGACGTTGAAATGACATAGTTTTGACATCTGCTTGCTTAGTGGGAACAACGGAAAACGAACGTCATATGAAGGCAATATTTTGGTCATATAAGACGTTGATAGGACGTCGGACCCGACCGGTTCTGTACCACATTGCAACCTTGAATGAACGTCCAGATGACGTTG